TCACTTTTTTGCGTTCACCTGAAGGGTTCACAGAGAGCATCGCAAATCACCAGCAAATTAATCATTGTTCGAATGTCATTTCATCTATTCAAATAAACCGTATGGTTCGTCAGAAATGTGAACTGGTTTCCATTGAAACCTCCTTTCTGTCACAGGCGTCAAATCATCGAATTTCAATTGTTGAAGGGATTTTCAGTCGGGAGATCGCGAGCCTTCCGCAACAATGCCGCCGTACGACAACAAAAACGTTAAAGAATTTTATATCGACCAACCTGTTGATCATTTCAACAAATCAGATACTAGGACGTGGAAACAGGTCCATTCATATGAAATTTCATCCATTTATAATCTCCATCCTTGTCTGAAGACAGCGACAACTCTTTGGGAAAGACTCAACTGCATGCCGATCCCTTAAATACGTTCTACGTTTTTAAGGCCGATCCTGGGAATTACTTCAGGACGGAATATCTTACTGAATGATATATTTTTCACGAAAGTGCATATTGATGGAATTCTTAACCGAAAGATGAAAAAATTTCGGGTGATTCCATTCGTATAAAGTGAAAGAATGAGCGACTGAGAGGAACGATTTAGCGGATCATTCAATAATTTCATGAGATGAGCACAGATGCGCTGTGGACATGTTATAAGCGTAGTTGAACGAAGTCAAAAACAAAGTTAGAATATTGCATGAAAGTCGTATAAAGTAGTATTCTGTTCGGACGGAAAAAATGCTGGGGACGGGGAGAATGAGCGACATTTTGGGGACGGGAACAGTCCCCGAAAATGGTCGCGGCTCCAAAAAGGTCTAGGATGGGGACGAGGACGGGGATTCGGGGATGGGGAAGCCGAATTTGGGGACTCCTCGCACAACACTAGCGTGATGTTATCGACATATACATCAGTTGTTTTTAGCGTGTCCAATACAATCCACAGTTCTATCAGAACCTGGGAGTGGTGTTTGTAATGATCGGTGGAGAGTCGATCATTCCGGTGAAATGGGTGGCAAACGAGAAGGTTTCAATGATGAAATGGGCGAGAAAGTTCGGCGCTGCTGCATTTCAAGTGGAGCATCGTTTCTTCGGTTACAGCAGACCGTTTCCGTGAGTTGCTTTCTGTGAGAAGCTCAGCGAAATTCATGTTTTATATTCTCGTTTGACAAACTGCACAACTGTTCTGAACAAATTCACGTTATCGCCGTAAACAGCACAAAGAGCAGCAATTCCATGGCAGTCTAGCTCAACTCGAATACGTCTTACTAGGCTATGTTCCGCTGCCTTTCCATTACCAGCAAGGCAACAAAATGTGATTTTGACGCTTGTCACCAATGCGT